CTTGACATGAGCAATCTTGAAGGTCCAAATGATCAATGAAAGTCACATGAGGAATTAAAATTCCAATTTTCCTTGTGAAAACTCAAACCCTAATTTGAGGTATCAATGTTGAGAAGATGTCTTGACCTAGTCAATCCTTGTGCAAGCTTGAGCTATTGAAGATCTTGTGAGGAATGTTTTGAGAAATGAGAGGGAAGATTTTAGGGTACAACAGTATCCTTCTAACTCTTATCCATCTTCATAATCTTTAGATTTTGAACTATCTTCAAAAGTTACCCCGTGTGTTAACACTACACCAGAGTTGGATTGGGACTTGCTCCAATCCCATGCTTCTAAATCCTTCACAATGGCGTCTCTGTTGACTTTACTTTTATTAGTTATCGGACAATAAAACTTGTATGTACCTATACTGTGGTACCCAATCAACAACATTACTTTACTTTTATCACCCATCTTATTTCTCTTAGCATCTGGAAGATGTTTGTAACAAACTGAACCAAATACCTTAAAACAACTCACTTTTTGCTTATCTTCACTCCACTTCTCTAAAGGAATAGTTCCCTTCAACTTCTTCATTAGACACTTATTGAGCATGTACATTGAAGTGTCAACAGATTCTTTCCACAAGGTGTGAGGCAGGTTCTTCTCTTGCAGCATGCTCCTTGTCATATTAAGCAAATTTATATTTCTTATTTCAACAAGACCATTGTGTTGAGGAGTGTATGAAGAAGTAACCTCATGCGCAATTCCATTCTCCTCACAGAACTTCTAGAACTCTGTAGAGTTATACTCACCTCCACCATCAGTTCTGAGAACTTTCAACTTCTAACCACTTTGTTTCTCATCCTTCACCTTGAACTTTTGGAACTTAATAAAAACCTCATGCTTAAACTTGATGAGTGCTACCCATGTCATTCTTGTGAGGTCATCTACAAAAGACACAAAGTACTTGTTTCTTCAAAGTGAAGGTATTGGGAATCGTCCACATACATACATCAGAAGGCACTACTCTCAGAGCATGCTTTGCTCTTGGGGCTACTTCTGACGTAAATGGAAACTTGGATTCTTGTCTTTCATACATACCTCACATGACTTCTCAGGCTTCACAATCGTCGAAATTTCCTGTACCAGCTTCTTAGAACTCAGATGCTCTAAGCTTCTGAAGTTTAAATGCCCCAATCTCTTATGCCACAACTCACTGTCACACTCTTACTGAATCTATATATTTCATTTCTTTATTTTTTATATAAAAATAATTTCTTAATTATAAAAAATGGAAGAAAATATATTTTGATACATTTATTTACCTAGTTTCTCTAAAATAATTTTAAAATATTTCAATTTAAAAAAAAAAGATAGTACTTCTTCATCATATATTTTACAATAAATAGTACTATCATTTAAAGATGGTATTAGATTTATGTCTAATTTTAAAATCACATTGTAAAAATTCAAATATGATACAATACATCTATTCTTTTCTTGCATATTGATAAATAGTTTGGGGTTCAACCATTTGTAATAATTCATCCTTATTTTAAATAATATTTAAAAGAAAGAGATTTTAGATCCTTTTTGACTAAATATCCTAACAATACAATAATTACTCGAACTAAATATATTCTTTAAAATTTAGAAAATAAAAGAGATACTTGGATCCACACAATTTAAAATAATTTTTGTTTTCTTGAAATCATACAACAAAAATAACACTTAAAAAATACTTTTAATGTTAAAGCATGTATTCCACAAATTTTCAGGGTTAAATTACTCTCAAATTACCTAAAAATATAATAGAGAGTGTCACACTCTTTAATGAATTTATATGTATTTTATCTCTACATTTTTCTTAAAATATCATACAAATAAATTATAGACAGACAATAAAACTTTCGATTTCTCATATATAACTTATAGTATTTGTAAAGCTATTGAATCTTTTATTTAGTAATAATTGAAAATAAAGTTTAACTTTTATTTAAGATTAAAAATAATTACATATCTTTAACAACTTATAATTAAATATCTAAAAGAGAGACAAATTTTAAAAAATACATTAGAATCAAAATAAAATATAAATAGTTATTTTTTAAAATCATTTTAAATTTACAAAATAAAATATTATATATCACTTTCAACTTACAAATATAAGTTTTCTTTTATTTTAAGTAAAATATACATTTTTATTTGTGATTATTTTAAACCATTGTCTCGATTATAATTTATAATAAATTTTTATAATATACATTTATAATCGATATTTATTAAATATTTTTTTAACATAATTAAACTCAATACAAAATTAATTAACAGTCTAAAATTAATTAATGATAACAAACCAATGATATTTAAATACGGCGTGGGATACCCGTAAAGTGTTAGAATAACTTTACTGACTGTTGGAACATATATAAAATTAAATTGGTAAATCAATGGTGAAAGTGGTTAATTGGAGAAGATGAAGTTTAAAGAGGAACAACAAAAACTGTACATATTGAACTGTATATAAGTTTAATCCAGATAAATATTGTATACCTTTAACTTTTGATATTGGAAAGTAATAAAATTGGTTAGGAATAGTAGAAAATTTGGAGAGAAAGAGTAAGGATTGATGATAAGAAGAAGAAGAGAAATGGTGAAGAGGAAGGAAGAATATATGAACGAGGATGGTTATGGAATGATGCAATTGAGATTTATAAAGGGCAATTACCATCGTGAAAATCACGACGCAAATGTAACATTCAGAAAATTTGTCAGGTGATTATCACGACATAAACTTTTTCCCAGACAACACATAAATTCCCGCAGTCTGCGTGTCATGCACATCACGTGTTGCAACAGGTTTTATGTTTGCCTCATGATTTTCACGACACTAAAATTTTTTAAAAAATTTGAATTTTCCACCATGTGAAAAGTTGAAAAATTTGTGAGGAATATTTATTATTTAAGTTCCATCATGATTTACACGACACAACAACTATTTTAAAATTTTTTCTCTTCCCCCCACGTGAAAAGCTGAACATCATTTTTTTTAATTTATATATTGTGTCGTGACAATCACGACACAACCTTTCTTTTTTACTTCGTGTTATTCACTTGGTTGGAAGCAAGATTTCTTGTAATGTTAAAATCAGATTAATTATTAGTATAGCTATAACCAATCCATATTTTGGTTATTTTTAATACATGAATTTAACCAAATCCATTTATTAGATATCCATATCCAAAACAAAAACTAGATTAGTTTTGAAAAAAATATTTTAATTTTTTTTTAAATTAAGTTAAAAAAAACTATTAAAAGAAATTTTATAATTTTTTTTCTTTTTAAAAAAAACCAAAAAACAAGAAATTAGATTTTTTTTGTTTTCGAAAAATAATATTTTTCTGAAAATAAAAAATAAATTTTAAAGTTTTTATCAATAAGTATTTTTCAACCTTTGTATTTTAAATTAAACTTCTCTCAATTGAAATTTACACTACAATAACTGCAGTGCGCATCACAGTATATGCAATAATCGCAATCAAATCATCTACTGACTACCACCTCAATTTAAAACTAGGCCATATAGTTGACAACATCATTTAATTGATATTAAATAAAATTTTATGTTATTTATATTTTTGTTGTTGAAATAATCTCGTGTATAATTTCTAATAACAAGTCAATTGCAGAACGAATAGGCAAAATAACGCCTTGAAGCAATAAGGATAATACCTACTTAGATTTATTTATTTTTATATAATACTAACTTTTAAAATGACCAGTGTTTTGTAATAGTATAACATGCAGCACTAGCCCATATCATCTTTTCTTTCATCCATTATAGCTTTCTTAAGTTGTCACACCATTTTTTAACATAAGATTTCCAAATATAATTGTGATATAGTACTTTGTTAAAAATGTGATTAAATTACAACTAATTGTATATGATTTTATAACTAGTGTGTGTGCCTAGTGGTAAAGATTTGAATCTTAGAAATGTGTTCTTCTCAAAATTTGATTTTTTTTTATGTTTTAGAAACCGGTTTTAAATTAAAAATTGGTTATAAATTTTAAAACCAAATATGAAATCTATAATCGATTGTAAAATTTGATTATGAATAAACTGGTTTAATAATCGGTCATGTAATAATATATGAATTGGTTATAATATCCGTTTATAGTAAATAATTATAAATCAGATATGAATTGGGATATGAATTAGTTATATGAATAATCCGACTATAAACATCCTTAAAGATACCTATAAACATTTACTGTCTCTGAATTAGTATTGATGTACTCTTTGTATTTTTCTCATAACTTTCTCTACATATATCATTTTGAATTTTGAAATAAAACTTAAGCTGTGGAAAAATGAGACTCTAAAGTGACTTAATTTCATCAAGTTTTGAATATGAAAAATGAATTGTAAGTTTGAGTTAGTGATTTAAATTGTGTGTTGAGGTTGCTATAATGATCACGCTATAACTTTCTGTGGATTGCTTTTGGCAAAGAGGGTTACATTTGAGACAAATGTGTATTTAGGGTGGTGTTTTATGACATATTTGATTGAATGACTAAGAATTATTGGTTCAATATTTCGAGTCTAAGTCGGATTACGTTTTGAGTGTAGGATAGAATTTTGTAATTTCGGAATTATAAAGATTTTCATATCAATTACTATTTATTATGGGTAACAAGTATCTTTGATACATAATGTAGGACTAAACATTTTTGTGAGAGACACATTATTTGTCCACCTAAAACTTTAAGGTGATAAGAGAGTGAGTTCCTCACTTATAAATGTTCAAGTCACCACATTCTTATTCAATGTGAGACTATTTCCCCACTACTTGCATTATTATTCTAACACTTTACAACTAAACTAAAGGACTCACTTGTCGACAATGATGATTCCTCAATAAATTCTGATCTCAACTTCATCAAAAGTCGTCCAAGATAATTCAAGCCTTCTCCTTCTCGACCACCACCCCAAAAGATATCATGCGGAGAAGCCTCAACTAGAACCGAACCAGCAGTTGAAACCAGCATAGAATTCAGCCGCGGATACGTGGAGAATTTGCATTTCAGTGCTGAGTACATGACATCGATCTTCTTGCTGTCCCAGTCAGGCCTTATCTGCAAGCACCATAAAATATAATGTTTTCATAACTATCTTCAAGAGTTTATGAAAATTAGCTAAAAGCAGCTTATGGACATGTCATAAACTGTTTTCATAAAATCTCTCGATCGGTTTCAAAAGTGCTTATGTGAATAGATAACCCAAATAAACAATTCATACCAGATCAGGACGCTTTTTTTGCATTGACCTTCCCATTCTTGCAGCTTCTTCAGGACTTTTTGAAGATTTGATCCTTTCAATACAATCCCGCGCAGCAGTATCATCCACTCCAACAAACTTGTGCGCCTAGGCATCAAAATAAGTTTATAACCAATGAAATAATACTGCAATATGAAAATATAATCTACGCATGCAAAAAAGTACCTGGTAGTAATGTTCCACACTCAACCAAGTCACGCTATCGCCATTTTCATCGGGCATTTGAATGGGATGAGGAGAGAAATTTGACAATGCACCATAAGTATCCCATGATACGTAGAAAAATATGGTGTTGGATTCATAAGGTGAGACAGTAGGGTCAACAACAAAAGTTTCCTCTGGTGATGGGATTGTCGGTGCCATGTTCAATATCGGTTGAAGAAATCCGCTAACAAGCATGTCAGGCCCAATCTGCATTAATGATTCATTCATCAATAAATGCATAGATTAAATATATAAATGTTTTTAATAGGAATAACATAATATTAGTACTTAGAAGAAATTTGGACTAACCTGCTCATAGGAAACATCAATCAGATTTAAAGCCTGTGACATCTCAACCATCCCAAGATCACCGACAGGAGATGGTGCATTATTTCCACCAATAATTTTAGGAGTAACAAATGCATGAATCTGATGAACATAAAGATTTATGTTATTCTAACATTTCTATAATAAGTAAGAGCAACCATCCAAACATTAAGTCAGAAATGAAGAGGGGGATAACGGATAACCACCCCAAATCAAAGAATGTTTTCATTCTTGTATGTATTTTTAAAGGCCTGGCTGATATCAGGCACAGGTGCCTCAATTAAGTCCTACTGTAATTTCCTGAAAGATTCCTCAGCTTTATGACTTCAGCCCACACTAGAGTTAGTTTTCGAAGGAAAAACTTTTTAGAGTTGCGTCAATATCTTAAGATGTGTAAGATATTTTTAGAAATCAAAACATAATCATTTTTAAATCATTTAAATGGTTTGGATTCATAACTATAACCACATTTCAATCAGAACTGGTTATAAATTTAGTTATAATTATATAATCGATTTGTTTTAAAAAAATATCGATTTTAAATGATTTTTCTATAAAAAGCATTTTTAAACTAGTTATTTATAAATTTTAAAAATATAAATTATTTTTTATTTAAAATTCTGTTATTTCGTTAATTTTTTTTACTATTTATTTAAGAATATTGGTTAGCAAAAATATATATTTTTAATAAATTTGCAAACATAATATTAAAATTTCCAAATAATTAAAAAATGTAGAAAAGAGAAATCTAGAAATATATTTTCCAAAAAAAAATTTGAAATTATTCTTAAAAATTATTTATTTTAGAAAATAAGAAAATGTTATTATTTTTTATTTATTTACACTCAAAGAAGGATCTAATATAACCATTACTAATGAAATTGAAAATAGCAGTTTAGAAGGATCTAATATAAGAAATTGAAAATAGCAGTTTAGAAGGATCTAATATAAGAAATTGAAAATAGCAGTTTAGAAGGATCTAATATAACCACTACTAATGAAATTGATGACAACAAATAGTAAGAAAAATGCTCTAAGATTTGTGGGTGACATTTGTGATTTATGTTTAGAGAAATGGAATGAGTTTTCTTATTAAAAAAAATGAAAAAGAAATGGAATGCACCAGAATTTTGATAATAACAGAGGAGATTACGAAAAAAATACAGATTCTACGAGGAACGAATATATGAACCGCTGATCAAATCCAGTGGTGTATTTTGTTTCTGGTCCACCCATGAATCATATGTTTGCTACCTCATTCTAGACGTAGTTATTTTGGGAAAAAAGTTTTTGGAAAAAAATTCTGGACATTTTTTTTCCAAAAAAAAGGAAAACTTTTTCAGAAAATTAAAAAAAAAAAAAAAAAAAAAAAATATATATATATATATATATATATATATATATATATATATATATATATATATATATATATATATATATATATATATATATATATATATATATATATATATATATATATATATATATATATATATATATATTGGAGCAAAAAATATGGAATTTTTTTTCTTTCAAAAAATAAATAAATTTTTTTTTTTAAAATTAAAAAGAAATTATTTATTTTGGAAAATATTAAAAAAAAATTATAATTGAATTGAAATATTTTGATTTTGAATTATAACCAAATTCTAAAGAAAAATACGGTTGAATAACCATTAATTATATCCCGATATTTTAAATAGATTTGGGACTCACAAGTTATTATTTTTTAAAATTTTTAAGCATATCAGAGATTGATAATAACAAATTGAACTTCATTAAAACTTCCCCGTGGAAAAGAAAATAAAAATGAAAAAGATAAATGAAACCTTGTGAATGACTCCGGATGAAATAGCAGATGCGGCCAAGGTTCCTCCGCACTCCCAGAAAACTGAAAGATAACCGCGATTGTGAAAATACTCCATAACGTTTCGGGGATTTAACATGTCAAACTCGACAACTTCAACTCCTTTAGACGCAAGCAGCTTCTGGAAACTCTTCCTCGCACCTCTCTGTGTTACAACTATGGTAGAAACCTCAGTCATGTCCCATAGGTTTGCTTTGTCTGGAAGATCGAGGGACTGAGACATTACAATACGTATTGGCATATGCCCGCCTCCATGTCTCTCCGTCAGTCTTGGATCTGATTGATTTTAGAAGGAAAGTAGGTATCAAAAATCAAATTTCAATAAACTTATAGACAAAAAAAACATTGATCATGATGATACTTACTGTCCCTTCGAACTGTATTTCCTCCCACAATTATTGCATTGCTTCTGGCTCGCAGCTCATAAACTAGATTTTTAGATTTCTTGCTGCTTATACAACATGCATGACCAGTGCTAGCAGCAATTTTACCTGTTGCACGGATGAAAAGGAAGGTAACGAGACAAGACATAGCAGCCAACAGTCTAACTAAACTTCAAGATTCTGCACTTAAAACTTAGGCAAGAAAATGATTAGAATCCTCACCGTCAAGGGTCATAGCATAGTTGAGAACAGAAAAGGGAACATGCAAATGAGCTCTACAAATCAAAGGAGCATTAACAAGAAGACATTCTTTCTGAGCATCCTGTAAATAAAACCGAAGACATGAATGCATATGTATGTTATAAAGCTAAAGGTAGTCACTATACATTACTAGTAATACACACCTCTATAAGCTTACTGGTGAGATCCTCTCCGAGAAGATCAACCTGCAATCCTTGACTTCTGAGTGCACGAACAGCCTTGCCTCTAAAATGTTGCAAAGGGTGTCTCATTCCAATGACAACCCTTTTCACACCACCCTAATTTCGTTTCACATATACAGCACGGTCAATTATCAACTACAAACACAAACTGAAGTCAACATGCACACACCCAAACAAAGTTGCACTTGTGAACGACGGCATTGCTTGTCACATTACTAGCATACCTGAAGCAGAGCAGATACAGCAGTGTTGTCGCCGTCACAGTCACCGGATTCCATGTTTAGGTAAGCGGTGGCACCACGGCAGCGCTCGCCAGCGGAGGTAACGGCCTGAACTTCGGCCGGGCTAGTACCTTGCGCGTAGAGGTAGCCCTCACCGGCGACATCTCCGGATGGGGTGGCGATGACGCAGCCGAAATTGGGATGAGGGGAAGTGAAGCCGGCGGATTTGTCGGCTAGGAGGGCGGCGCGTCGAATATAGGCGGCGTCAAGCGCGTGGCTGTTAGTGTCAACGGATGCTTTGCATTTACAGACGATGGAAGAGAATGAGAAAGAGTTGGCAATTGGAGTGAGACCGAACATCACTGCATAATCAACGTGTCTGGTTCTTTACACTTTGGTACTACTACATTGTTTTTTCTTTAAAAAGGAAATTTATATCATTTCATTCCTAATCAAATTTGATGAGAAAGGATATACTACATAGATCGGATCTGCGAATAAAAAAATATGATATAACATAAAGATTGGAGCACGAGTCTAGCGTGGTACAAGTATGTTGTCGTGTCTACTCTATTTTTCAAATAAATGACAACCATCTCTTATCACTACAATTATAGATAAAATCTAAATAAACTCTGAGAGATGAATGAAGATAAGAGTTGTTATAAATAAATTCTAAGAGAGTTAATTACAACTTGAAAGTGTTAGTGCAGTGGTTTGGCTCTTGGTATAAAGTATTGTTCTGTTAATGTTTCTGGGTTCAAAATAATTATAATTATAAAAATTGTGAATAAAATATTCAATGTCACTTCAATTAAAATTGTGTCACTGAAAATAAGCACCAAATTGAATGAGGGACTAAATTCAAACACAAAACTTAAAAAAAAAAACTAAAATAGTACTTTTTAAAGTGAGAGGATCAAAATAAAAAAAAAAGACTAAATAGGGGGACCAAAGTTGCAATTAAGCGAAAATAATTATATTAATAATATATTTTTCTTATAAAAATATTTTAATCAAAATAATTTTTTATATTTATAAAAATAACATCATTTATTAAAATGTTTAGATCAATAATATATATATTTTATTTATATAAAATTATTTTTATTTTAGTATCGTTAATAAATTTTTTTGATCTTATCGGTTGATCAGAATCTACAAGCTGGTTGGATGATCTTCGGACGGGATGGAAAATCGAGGAGGTAAAAGGGGGATTGTACCTGCAAGGCACTCCGACGATCAAGTAAGTGTGAGAGCAAAATACATATAAGCAAAGTATTAGAGTTTTAGTGATGAATAGTGGATATCTGATACTTGGCCCTCACATGAGGGAGAGTTTATATAGTGCCTATGGCTCTTGGCCATTGATTCCTGTTTTTGAGCCTAGATATGTGGGTCCGCAAAAATAAGTAACTCTCAGGACTTGGTCAAATCGGGTAGGTGTGCCCGTAACTAGCTGTTGGTTCCGGGGAGGAGGTAGGTTACAGGCAGTGGTTTGGTCGATTCCTAATTGTCTAACCGACTTGAGGTCGGACAGACTGAGAGGCGCTCGTTGATTGTCATAGATCAGTGCTGGTCCAGGAGAGAAAATGATCGATGGTGCTCGACGGAGGGCGGGGGAGCTCGACCGTGGTCGCACGGGCCGTGCCGAAAGTGAAGGTCAGACTGGGGCCACTCTAGCTGTCGGGCCAAGCTAGAATAGTAGCCCCCAAGTCGTTGCTTTTGAGTATATGAGTGATGACTTTAACGCCTTCTCGTGGAATGGGGTGCTCCATACGGGGAACGTGAGTGCCGCCTGTTGCGCCTTTCTTGCGGGGAGATGGTTAGTGGTCGTTCGAGCTTCCAAAATTGAAGAGATAGCGTATTTCGGGTGGTGCACTGATGCAGCGGTGCAATAATGGCCTAGGGGCTAGGGGCAATGATGATAATCCTACGGTTCCCTAGGCATGTGTTTCTCACGCGCGAACAAGTTTAGCTATAAATATGAGAAGAATAGGGCATTCTGTACTTTTCATTCTTCTCTCGCATTGCTTGTTACTGCTCGCCTGTCGACCTTTGTTGTTTCTTGAAGGTTAACTGTTTGTCGCCGCTCCTTTTAGCTTCCTTTCCTCTTTAATAGGTAAGATTCCGTATTTTCGTTGTTGTTTAGTTGTGTTAGCCTATATTTTTATGATTTTTCTTCTTGGAAATGCATGCGGTTAGACTTGGGATCCTGTTTGTTAGGGCGTCTTCGGGGAGTGCTGCTGGTAGATGGTGGTTCTGTAGTTTAGAATCGTTGGAGCCATCATAGATTCTCCCCGGATTTTTGCGATGTGTCGTAGATGATCCTTGAGGATTTATGTCGTTTTTGTTGACTGGAGTTTGTCTTGTTGGGAAAAGCGTTCGTTCGTTATGATTCCTTAGTGAGGGTTCTGGTCGGGGACATGGTCCTCGTTCATCAGCTCCCTTTCACTTGATTAGTGGTGGAAGGGTGGTTTTGAAATTAATATCGAACTCACTTCTATCCTCTACTTTTCAGGTACTATGGCCGACAATGTTGGAGACAATTTTTCGGGAGGACGGACTGGATCCTCCCAGAGCTCTATGGACGAGACTTGTAGCACGTCGGACATCCTGGAGATTGTTAGCTCCTAAATTTGACACTCACATATTGGCCTTATTGGCTAAAAATAGATTAAAGAAATCTAAGCTGAAGTCACTTCAACATGAGAGCCTATGAAAGGAGTTGTGTCGAAGTCATCCTTGTTAAGAAGGAGAAAACACTTAGAGAATTTTCTAAGTTAAAGTCAGTCTTCGACCGGTTGTGTCAGCATCAAGTGGATTTGAATTTGAAGAAAGGAGGGAAAGGCAGTTCACTTGGCAGTTAGGAAAAGCAATGTGGCATGAAGATAGGGGTCGAAGAATATGCAGAGGACACTTGTCCTCACCCTGGAACGAAGCAACCGTTCGACAGTTACTTATTACTAGTATAAATATAGGAAATTTGTGTAGAATTTAGGGTGTTCAACTCATTGTACAAGTCACTCAATTTTATTCAAGTACCCGCTGTGAGAGAAAGAATATTGAGAATGTACGTTTGAATCACTATTGCAATCAAAGTCTTTTACATTTCTTTACAATTCTTTCCATTTAACATTTCGCTGCAAGCTTTACCATTACAACCCTTCTAAATTACTGTAGATTTACTTTATCCTTTACTTTACTTGCAATTCTATCAAGTTTTTTTTACCTTCATCCTGCTTTTACTCTTAGTATCTTGTCGAACCTGTTCATTTAAACCTATTCAAACCCAAAAATACATAGCATATGTCCTAGGATACAACTGATCAATCCTGCAAGTAACCAAAATAACCCTTTTGGAAGATTAGCGGTTGTTTACCAATTTTTACGGTAAACAAATTGGCATGCCCAGTGAGACGTTGCTAAGTTTTTTTTTTTACAAACTTTGATAAAACAGTTTTATCATAAATGCTTTAAGTAATTTCCTTTCTCTCAAAGAGTGTTGTATGTTATTGAGAAGTGGCAAAACAACCACCAAAGAATACATACCTAAGAGAAGAAATAGGAGAATGAATAATCAGCCAAGTAGTGGAGAAATGCCTCCACCAATTCCTAGAAATGGAACTATGGTTATATCAACAGTTAGTGAACCTATGCCATCAACGGTTGGTTCGACACCAGCATTGACGGTTACACAAACAGGACCAATACTTTCTTATATAGGTCCTAGGGGTCCACCAGGAACACCCCCACCAAGGGGAAATCTTGGAGTTCGACCTTATGTCCCTCCAGGATTTTCGACAGCTTGGATGGGTCGAGACCAACCATATGGCATGCCAACCGCTGAAATGGCAAGCCTTATGAATGCCTCATCCACATTTTCGGAACCTTTTGTAAGTGTATCTTCGCCATTACGGGGATCTGGAACTGGTATGGAAAATCTGGATAGAAACTAACTCTTAGGAGGGACGTCCCATATAATGTCGAGCCTCACAAATGCTTCTGCAACAATTTTGAGGCAACAAATGGATGAGAGTAACCATGACATGGTGTAGATGTTGGAATAAACCTTGAGTATAGTACTTAACCCTCTAATACAAAATACCACCCAGTCGAATCAGCAAATGGCAGCGCAAATGACGCGCATGGCTGAATTTTTTGGGGTTCCTCAACCTATTAGACACCCTCAAAGAGAGCTGATAAGAGGAAATCAGGGTGTGGTCTTAGAGGATGACATGACCATTAACCAGAATTCACAGCCAGATGGGATGAACCATAGAGTCGAACAACCTAGGTTCGAAGTACCCAGAGTTGCCCCACAAATCCCAAGAGTTGTCGAACAAGGTATAGTTGTGGTAAATAGAAACCAAAATACCGATGAAGTAATACATCAGGTTCGACACCACAACCATGCAGTAGATAATAACTTGACAGCCACATTCGAAAGAATTATGGCATAGAACAAAGTAAACATTGGTTTTCATAGGCCAAACATTACATCTCCATTGTCAGATTATATCTTGGAATCAGATTTACCCCATAGGTGGAAAGTTCCAAAGTTCACCAAGTTTTCAGGGGATACGACAGAGTCCACTGTCGAACATGTGGCAAGATATTTGATAGAGGTTAGGGAAATCTCAAATAATGAGAATCTTAGTATTAAGTATTTCCCAAGTTCCTTAACCAAAAATGCTTGGTTTACCAAACTCCCAGCCAATTCGATCCACAATTAGAATTAGTTAGAAAGATTGTTCCATGAACAATTCAATATGGGACAAACCAAAATAAGTTTGAATGAACTGGCTAGTATGAAGAGGAGATTCATTGAGCCAATTGATGAGTATCTGAACAGATTTTGACTACTCAAAGCCAAATACTTAACACAAGTGCCTGAACATGAGTTGGTCGAAATGGCTGCATGAGGTCTAGATTATTCCATTATGAAGAAATTAGATACCCAATACCTGAGAGATATGACCCAATTGGCCGATAGAGTTTGACAGGTGGAATGCCTTAAGGATGAAAAAGCTAAGGCGAATAAAAATCATCGAAGA